TGTTCCATGTGACATTCGAATCCTTGGGATTATGGTATTGCACTCATCATATTCTTCCATTCTTCCATGTTGACAGTGATTTGACTAGTTATGTTGCTATAGTTGCACAAGGGCATTGACAGGGATTTGACTAGTTATGTTGTTATAGATGCATAAGGGCAAACCTGAGAGGTATGGAATCTCTCATGCAAGTTTTACAACTTCATATGAAGTCACTAGTGAAAAAATCAAGTACATCAAGAAGATTTTTGGAAAAAAGGTAGGTGGTGATCATGATTATTTTCTTATTTGGAGTTCATCTCGATTGATTCCTTTATGTAAGGATGTGTTTCACGTCCACTGTACTGATTATTGATGTCAACATTTAGGTAATGATGGAAAATATTTTAGGCTATACAAATCATCTTATTTTTTATATTTTTATAAGGTGAAGCTAAATAGGATGATGACCTCTCAGTCCTCTTCCTCAAACTTGTAGAGGGATTTTATAGTGACATATGTGTTGGTGTTTGACCTAAGATAATGTTGACTATTCGTAGGTTAATCAATTGAATAGGTATAACCTCATGACGATGAATTTAGCCCTCACAAATCATATGGATCGGTTAATAAGGTCATGTCAAAAGAAAATAACTGATTGAAGAATTTGACAACCCTGCGTCCGTAGTTAGTAAAGGAAAGACTCTTCGGAAGTCTCGTCTCACTTTGGAGACTTGGATTTCCAACGAAATTGTTTATGGGGAGATCTAGAGGATGTATAATAAATATCAACCTCGAGTAATCATAAATCATATTTTATTTATTGCATAAGCAAGTAAACATCCTAACAACTTCCGACAATCTAAAACATATATAATCTTGGCACATTTCATGTAACATATCCAACACAATCTAGAGCTAATAACAAGGGGTAACGTAGCATCAAGCACATAAAAACAATGAAATTGCATATACAAGTAAATGAATTGCATTAATCTTATCTCCAAATTATTAAATGTGAAACCAAGCTTTCAAAGGCTTCAACCAACTATTTTGCCTGTTCCCTCTGAATATTTTTCCTCCCATTTCTCCTTTCAAATATTCAAATATCAAAAGCAATAAAATAGAACTATGAGCTACCATTATATAAAACTATCCTTCCAAATTGTTGAAATTTTTTTACCTAAATTGAATTTGGGCTATACAATTCTCGCCTTTTCGATTGAAATCAAAAGTTTAGCTTGCACATCTCACTCATCTATCTTCTGATCATCAAACCAATAGTTGGTTTTTAGAAAGCTATTCCAAAGGAAGATGATTTCTTCTTCAACTTATGGAAATCACATCAAAACCTTACTTTTGTATCTTTTCTTGAAATTCGATTGAGCAAGAATGAAACAAAATGATAAATGAAGTTGATATTGACTTCATCTTAATTTTGATTCCTTTTCAAGGTGTCAAGATAAGAGATGAGTTTGGATTACTCATCAAATCCCATTACCTTAAGAACCCATGCTTTATTCATTTATATAACCATTAATAAGTTTTTAAATAATTATTTAAATTTTTAATTGAAATCATTAATAAATTTGATATTAAAATTGTTTAAGATATTAAATTAACTAATATGAAATGTATATTTCAAAACCAATCAAATTTTATATTAAAAATTTAGGGATGTTATATTGAAATTTTTGGGGATTTGGGTTTAAATCCCAAGAGTAATAGCCTAAACTTAATGTTTTATTTTTTAAACCAAGTAGGTTGTGACACATTATTATAATATGAGTCATGTTTCACAAACAAAAATTAATAATAAAATAAATTATTAAATTTAAAATGAAATTAACCATGGATGACTAAAATAAAAATGAAATCAAAATTTGGTGATTCATTTGTAAAAAAAAAAAGCTACAATTAATATATTTATATAGTTATAATCAGAATCAGTTGGTATATTTCGCAAATAAAATTATAAATATGATTGACACAATAATATAACAACGACCATAATTACTTTAAATATAATTAACATATAATATAATTTAAAATAATATAAATTAAAATTAAAATGGAATAACAACATAATTAATTTACTAAAAATGAAAATTCTACCGATTAGACATAAAAAAAAGTAACCAAAGTCTATAACAAACATGGAATGAATACCAAAAAGAGCATTTAATCTAAATTAATCAATAATAAATGAAAAATATTCAACATAAAAAGTCAATAAACAGTTATGTTAGTCTATCAGGTCTGAAAAGATGCTCTGAAGATCATACTTTAACATAATTATTAATTAATTTCATACATATTTGATCAACCTCAACCATGTTATGATGTTTAATTAAGTTAGGAAAATTTGGCAGTTTCCGGCTTGGAATTTGCCACATACCAGAAGTTTACAACAGGTCGCACCTAAAACAATTGTCAGCTATTTCATCAAAGTGCTTTTTTAAATAAAAATATTAAAGTAATAAAAATATGATAAATTAAGTCAAAGATTATTAAATTATATTTACTTTGAAATATTATTAAATTATAAATTAAAACGATTGTAGTACAAATTTTAATTTTATATGTAATTATATTGTTAGATCATTAACCTATTAATATTTTAACGATTTGATAATTTAGTGTTGTCATGGTGTTCGCATGTGTTGACGCAAAATTTTAAATTTAAAAATTATTTTTTATTTTATATTGTTATTTTCTTTATTAAAGTTGAAATTTTTTATATCTATTTTTAATCATCATAAAGAAATTTCAATCCCTCGCGTCTTTTGTGATCACCCTTGATACTAATGAATTCGTCTCATCATCGTCTATCACTTTATTAGTTTAAATTTTCTCAAACTCTCTCTAAAACTCATATTTAAAAAAAATATAATTTTTTGGGTTTGGAAGCTTTCTTGGAATAGAGGAGTTTGTTAAAAAAATGAATTCTGAGAAACCTCATTAGTTAACCATAGTAGGAGACTAAAGTATTAGCACGTCAAATCTTGAAATGGATTTTTGTTGATTTTGAGTAGATTTCATGAAAATAATTCAATGAGAAGAAAGATGAGTGAAATATGAATGTTTTGATATTGATCTTGTAGTATGATGATTGGTGACAAACAGGGATTGACTCTCAGTAGCAATCAAAAAGCTTAATGTCTAAAATTGAATTGTTTAAAATTTCGCGACAAAATGGATATACAAATTAAATAGTTCCTTGATATCTCGGATTCGAAACCCAAAAGAGTAAGTCTGAGGAGTCATGTATTTGGTTAGAATTTGTATGTATGGAGGTTTAGCAGCATGCTTGCTTGTCTTTGGCTCAGATGTGGGTTGTTTCTTGTAGATTAATCCTTGTAAACGGTTAGACTTGAGCATGGTATATTTTTTTCCTCCATCTAAGTTTAGGGAGATTTTTTAACGAGGTTCATGTTCATGTCTCAGTGTCTGAACTAATTTTATAATACAAGATCATTTCCACACCAAAAAAAATTACCTTGTACTTATCCCAAAAATTAGTTTTATAATTATATTTTTTAATAAAAAAGTTTTAAAATCATATTAATTTACAAATCAATGACATTTTTAGTAGAATAATAAAAAACCATATCTAATATAATTTACCCTAAAACAAGACCAAACTTAAGTGTGAACGGTTTAAGAATTTATGTTGTTTTGCTCATTAACTAAAAGTTGGTTAGGTTTGGATTCTCATGCAATTAAATTAAATGCAAACCTTAACATTTGTTCATTTGATATATAAATATAAAACAGGTACGTATGGAAGCATTTCTTTTGTATTTAATCTTGATTATACCTATCTGAACGCTTTATATAAATTGCTACTACTATATAAACCTGAGTTAGTTGGCCCCTTTGACTTGAACATATCTCTCCATATATATATTTCTTTTGTGTATATGGTCAGGAATGTTGGATGTTTTATACCGAAAATAATTAAACAAATAACTTATATAATTTATATGAATAAAAAGAACAGGAGATAGCAGTGCAAAAAAGTCCACCACCCATCAATATAAGAGACAAAGGGTGTGATCTCTGCATCGGTTTGTCAAACCCACATTTTAAAATTCGTTTGTTTCTTTAGATATGAAAAAAGGTTTCGGAAAATAATTAAAATAGCCGTCTTTTGTGGGAAAATTCAAACTTCTTTTGTTGAAAACATGAATTTCATTGTCATGAATTGGAATACATATATAGACAAATTAACATGTATATACGTTTCCAAATTTGTTTTAAATTGATTGAATTTGAATTACACCTATAAACACAATCAACATAAAAAAAATTAGGCATGCTACACATATATAAACACATGGACTAATTAATTAAGCCAATTTGAACGTATCAGACCTTAGTTATCTTTAAATCTCATCAAATGATTCCAGTAATTAAAAGAAATATTTTCTTTAGAGGTTACGGATTTAAATAGTTATGTCTCCAGGGATTATATATTGTCAACGACTAAGAAAATTTATTAATATATACTATCTTATAATAATCTTAGACTAATACACAAAAGGGGAAGTAATGAATACCTTAATTATTCTATTAGTAAATTAATTAAGCCTAATCAAACTGTATAAATAATCTTCTTCCATAATATTTTGTTAATTTTTGCATATACATAATAGAAAAATGTCTACTTATCTTTTAAAGACTTCTCCAAAACTTCTAGAACGTCACAATTTTTTCAATGTCTTTTACCTGTCAAGGTTTTTAAGATCTGGTAATTTCCATTGAAATATACACGATGAAACTCTTGAATACTTAAAGATTTAAAGTCTTGATTTCCATTAGTAGTACTAAAATATCATTAGTCGAAGAAACATAAAATTAAAATTTTCATGTACCTATTGAGTGGTCCGAGTGTTATTCTCTTTAAAGATTTCGAGTTCAAAAAACTTTATTTATAGGGTGTATGAATATTATTAATGACTAAAAAAGACTTTGAACATATATTACCTTATATTTCACTCCTATTAGAAATCATCCACATAATCATTCAAACAGGAAATAAAGAGAACAAATTAAAGTGCAATCAATATTCTTCTATGAGGGGTTTCCAATATTACAACAACCTCATGTGGACTGTGATACTAAACATATTGCACAACAAAATCAAGGAATCAGAAAGGAGTTAATTTATGGCGCCTGACAGCGGGTGAAGGAAGAAACTAAGTCTTGTAATAGGCCATAATCAGGAATTTGAAGCTGCTGCTGCTGTTGGTACTGCATGGAGTCGGTGTTTCCTGATGGATCATTGCTGGATGAAGGGAGCAAATGACTTAGGAATTCATGAGGGAAACCAGGACCCATCGTCATGGCCGAAGGCGAAAACCCCCCCACACCGTGGCCACGGAGAGTTGTCGGAATGTGGTGGTCGTGCTTTCCTTCATATGTTGTGATCACCACCGACGGGTCCTGAAATGATCTCTCTACTCGCTTCTTAACACCACATTTTGGGCTTGTGCATCTGTAGTAACTTCTGCAAATGGAACCATTGTAGCTGAAATTTAACTTGTAATCACGAAAAAAGATATGAATGATGAACAAGGAGTTTACTTTAACTGGGAAAAGGAAGATACAGCTAGGGTTTAGAAATTAAAATTTCTATTCAAAACGATAATTAATGAAAAAGAAGTAGAAATTTGGAATACAAATATGAAAACATAAGAAGAATTGATGAACCTTGGAAAAGGACTGTTCTTGACGGCCTTCTGACCGTACTTCCTCCACCTGTATCCATCTTCAAGATTATCGATCTCACTATTTGTGAGAAACGCGAACCTTGGCTCCTTTTGCCTTTTCTCCTTCTTTGTTGCCTTGTTCCTGCATATTTACTCGTTTTCTCAGTAATAATATTAGGGTTTTGTTCAAGGAATAAGCTCATTTATGTTGATATCCAGAACATGGGAAAGAACAAAGAAAAAAACTTGAGATTTCTACCACAAAAAGAAAATATCATTTAGGATCTAAATAGAAGAAAGGTATCAAAACCAATACCATGTATTCATCCATTCAAAGACTTCGAAAAAATGGAAGAAAATAACGCGTTTTCAGTCAAGGTGATTTTAGAAATAATTACTTTTTTTTTCAAGACTAAGAACATTCAAAATCATAAACCATTAAACCAATATATCGATCTTGAAATTTCTATTTAGCTAAATCTATGACAGTAGGTAGCTAGAATGAACAAGACAAATCCTTGAACCAGAAACCAGAAACAAAAGTTTCCCGGAAGAAAAAAAAAAAGAACCTACACTTTCTTTGACTTGTCATCTCCTTGATCTTCAGACGCTTTTGGCTGCTTATCTTTCTTACCCGTGCTCGAATCTTCGTCTTCATTAGAAGAACAATACACTGAGGAAATGGGTGTTGATAGGTTCTCAGAAATATTATGATTCAAATTTTGATTATCCCCCACTGAATTCTCTGCAGAAATGCCGATTCTCTTGGTGTTTGTAGTACTGTCATCCATGGGACTAACAACATCTGATGAAGAAAAAGACATGTCAAAGGCTCTCGAAAAGGAGTTGTAGTCAACGGAGCCGCCATTTAAGTAGTCGGTGAAGCTCATGTATGAAGGATCTAAGGCTGGTGTTGGAGCTGCAGATTGGTTGTAAATACAAGGATTGTTGTCGCCAAAGAAGTGAAAGGTTGATCGGTTGAATCCTTGGAAAGGATCATAGTTGTGTTGCGAATTGTTCTTTTCATTTGACGACATATAAACAATAATGAAAAAAGAAAGAAAGAAAGAAAGAAAGAAAGAAAGAAGGAAGGAAGGAAGGAACAAAAATTGAAGAAGATGAAGAGCCGAAGAAGCAAGAGGGTAAAACTACAATGAAAAATAAAAGGTTTAAAAGTGAGGGAAGAAAAAGGAGTTTTGATTAAGAAGTTTTTGTTTTTGTGTTTTATTAATGAGTGTGTGGTGTTAGATTATTTATTTATTTATTTTTATTAGGTCAAATTAACCTTTCATCCCTATACTATGTTTAAATTCAAGATTTTTTATATTTCAAATTTATATATTTTGATTCTTTTAGTTGTATATAAGACCATTAGTTAATTCAAATTATATTAATGATTTCAGCTAAAATACTACTTTTTTTAATGGGAATGAAACATATTTCATGATCAACCATTTACAAGGAGATTAATTACTATTATCAATGGTGGATACCCTATTTTCAATATATAAAAAAGATATAAGGACTACAATTAAATTTGAGTATAGTAAATGAACTAAAATCATAATTTGTCTTCACTATTAATTTCTTTTATTAGAGAGATGTAAAGGATTGGGAAGGTTTGGCTATTTTCCACTCTCATTTAAGTTTCACTTCAAAAATCTAAGTTCCACACATATTTTTCACGGATGATTATAGATGCTCAAACCAAACAATTGAATTATATTGTTTTACACATCACGTTTGTCAAAAGTATCAACCCATCAAGTGTATATAGTTGAGATATCTTCTCACTTATCGATATACACTAATTAAACATCAAGTTTATTATACAACACTTTTTTAAAAATTTGTTAAATTTATGGTATGAATAAAAATTTATATATTTTATATAAAAATATATTTATAAGTCCATTGAATTTAAATTTAATTAACATTATTTTTTTGATAAATAAGAAATACTACTATAGGCCTCGTTAAAAAAAACTCTAAACCTAATTAGGGGAGAAGAATACACATGTTAACAGCAACGGAAAAAGCCTCGAGATAAAACTCGACAAAATACAAAACAAGCTTAACAAGACATAAGCATATGAAATAGGCAAGGACCAGAACTAATTCTAACCACCTGGGTCGGCCCTTTGATTAATATGTGAACTCATATTTTTCCTCCTTATTCGACTCTGACCATTACCATGATGGTTCAAAGGGGAGTCAACAGCTTGCTTCCTGTGAAGCAATGAGATTACCTCGAGAGAAGGCTCACTAGACTACATTTCCTCACTAAACTTTACTCTCTCTCTTATTTTACTCACTATACTTTTAATTTTTTTAATTTACTCACTAACTTTCGAATTATTCCTGTTTTGGTGACTCTGGATTATTTCTTTATTATTTAATATAAAGATAATTGAAAATACTAAATTAAAATAGATGGTGGTCCTCCGTTCGCCATCGTTAGACGTCATCGTTGACGGTCGTAGATGGTGGTTGTTCGATCCCATATTTCATCGGTCGGTTTTGGTTGTTCGATCCCAAATTTCATCGGTCGCTTTTCTCTCAACCCCCTGAGTCTAAATCTGACCTTTATTTTATCGAAACATGCTCCGAATCAGATCAAAAGTTATAAAACCAAAATGTCAGTTGTCGTAGATGGTGGTAATTTGTCCCGGATTTCATAGGTCATGTTGCCTCGATCTCTTAAGTTTGAATCAGACCACAATTTTATTGGAACATGCTCTGAAGTCCACATATAGGAGTTCTAAAATAGGGATATGCTCTGCTGCTCTTTAGGGTAGGTTAGATTGGGAAAAGAAAGGGGACATGTTCGGTTGCTCTTCAAGGTATGTTAGATCAAGAAAGGAAATGAGATATGCTCTGCTACTCTTTAGGTTAGGTCAGATCAAGATAGATTTGCTCCAATACTCTTCAGGGTAGGTCAAATCTAAAGGAAAAAATATGTTTCGCTGCTCTTCAGGGTAGGTCAGATCAAGATAGATTTGCTCTACTGCTTATTAGGGTAGGTTAAATCTAAAGAAAAATGGAATATGCTCTACTACTCTTCAGGGTAGGTCAAATTAAGATAAATTCGATCCACTTCTCATCAGGGTAGGTCAGATCAAGATATATTTCCTCCACTAATGTTGCATCTATCATTTAGGTTCAATTTTTTCATTTTAAAAAAAATCCTACTTAAGAGTCTTATGGATGGCTTGAAGGACTTATCATCATGCTAGAAAGACTTATTAGTGACTCAAAGGGTTTAATCATCATGTTCGATAGACTTAATGATGTCCATAAGGACTTACTCGTTTTTGGAAATAGATTACTAGGTATGAAACTTTAGAAATCACTTTCTTACTTTTCAAAAATTTCATTTTCTAGAAATGAGAAACTTTGAAAATCATTTTCTAAAATATCATATGAAAACGTCATGCCTAAAGGTCTTATAGCTGGCATGAAGGACTTATCATCTTGCTTGAAAGATTTATAGATGACCCGAAAGAGTTAATCATCATGCTCAAAAGCCTTAATGATTGTTGGAAGGACTTAGTCTTTGAAAATCAACTTTTTTAATTCATTTAAAAATATCATATCGGTTGGGTAACATGCCCTACTTCAAAGTAATCATTGTTCTGTGGATTAGGCTTCTCAATTCTTGAGGTCCTGCCACTCTAAATATAATTCCCTCCATTTAAGGCTTTAATTTTGATTTTCTTTTCTTTCTTGGGAAGATCTTTAAGGATTATGCGTTTATGTATGAAAATATGAATGCAATTAAATTCATCTAAATGTAAGGCATGACTTTCTCATATGCAGAAATGTTGATCATTAATCTACTTTTGATTCGATCATTCTTGAATAAGGTCGACCTTCATATTAACATGACAACTCGATAGTTCAAGCTTGTATCTTTTAGAAAATAATATGATCATCCTATGTCGTCATGCCTTTCCTGTCTTCTATCTTTTAGTTTCTTCATCAAAATCTTAGAAGAAATTATATTTCTCTTGAATTTTGTTGCGATTAGGGATATGGTCTTGCCAACTTTTCTGCCTCTGACTCAATTGATCAATCAATGTTGATTTTTAGGACCCTTCTGCCAACTGAAACATGAGTGGTTTACTTTTACAAGGTAAGCTCTTCTTGTCTTCATATTCTACCCCTATTATTTCAAGCGACGAAGTTCATCTTCAATGTCTTCTCGATATGATTCTTGCTATCTCAACATGATCTGGTCTTTAGAAATGCCCTAATATGGGTATTTTGTGGCCTAATTGTAGTTGAATGGCAAGAAAATCGACTTCAAATGGCCTCATCCTCGGGTTATTTATCAGCAATCACATGTTATCAACCTTGAAAAAAAATAAAAGTTCCATCAAATATCTTTCTACCTTCTTATTATGACCTTAATATTTTAAGGGGTTATCTTTATATGGGGTCTCAAAACTAGATGAAAACTCAAGAAGTGACCAATACTTTTGAAATAAATGTATTGAATCTTTTCTACAAGCTAAAATACTAGAAAATTTCAAAATAAGCCATGCCCCTTCTTATTAAGGCAATCTTCTGCTTCCTGATCGATTACTAATATTGATGTTGTCATAAAAAATGTGAGAAATTTTATTCTTGAGTATTCTGATAGTTTAGACTTTATTTCTTGATAATCGAAGAATATATTCATTGTTTTTATGTCGCTTGTGGTTTTATTTCTTTATTTGAGGTAGATAAAGCCTCATCAACTTAAGGACCTACTTCAATCCTGAGAGATCGTCCTATTTGAAAGTGTTTTTCTTCCTTTTTTTTTCAAAATGTGAAAAAGTTTGAATAAGAAGTTTTTAAAATGGTGTCACTTTCTTTGGGATCACAATAAAAACAAATCATAAAACAATAGTTCACTGAATATCAAATAAGTCAACTATTCTTTTAATCTTTCAAAATTTATATCCCTTTGACAAGTGTCAAGATTGATACTAATTTTGAGGCTTAGGTTAATTTGGGAAGGTAGAGTATTTCATGTTGGCTTATTTGGTTAAGATATAGAATTCTTGATTCTGGTGTTCATTTATCTAACGAAGTAGTCATTACGCTTAGCTTTTGGAAATGTTCACCGATTTCCAGCTCTCGTGAGTGTTTTCAGGTGGTGTGATGCTTAATCAAGAGATGTATAAGACCACCTACTATACAAAAGCTACACAATATTCATATTTGAGTTGTCTTTTCATGTTTTCAACTCGAATCATTTTTTGGTTTCAAGACGTCATTTGGAACTTAAGTCCTGAACCCCCTTTATTATTTTTCCCTATCATGCATTAAAATTTTAGAAAACTTTGTTTTTGCAAATAAAATATTAATCCTGAGAGACAGGATGAAATCTGAATATAATATTTTTTAATTAGAAATCAACGTATGATTAAAATGGACTTTTCAGGCATATAATGTAGGCCAGAGCTCATGGTTATAAAAAAAAGGATAAACATGGCCAAAAAAGTGTTTAAGGGTGATCGAACCAAGGCTCAATTCGTTCTAATACCTTCATTCTTACCTTACCCAATTTGAATATGCTTGCAACTTGCCTTTTATTTTCTTTCTTTTTGGATCCCTTTAGACTACCCATTTTTTGGTTTTTCACCCTAGACTTCATCTCCATTTTTCTATACCTTTTTTATTTCTCGATTTCCTTATTGGATCTGGATCTTTGAGCTGGTTACTTGATCAAATTGTGGTTTGAGGATCATTGGGTCACTTTATTTTGATAGACTCATTGCTTGTACTTATTGTCTTCTTCATTGTTGAATTTTGAACTTCACTTTGATTTGAATGCATTATTTACTCTCTTCATTTGGAGAAATTGTCAATTATTTGTTATACTTGGAACATACTTTGGTTTTCTCAACTTGAATTGGTCTTTGAGCACTTCTTATTTGGTCCATCTTACAATTCCTTGTTATTTCACTTTATTTCACATAGAGTTATCCTTGTAACAAAATCTGGATTGATGGTCTTCACTCATGCGAGAAGATTTCCTTCACCTTGCCCCCAGTGTGGAGGGTGATCCTTGGTTAGGGTCTATTGGGATTTTTGGAAGCTCGATTCGATAACCAGAACGGTTTGCAAAGAGGGGTCGGAACGGTTTTTGAA